TTTTTTTGAGGATTTCCACATAATGCAGATAAACTACCATTTGTACTGCGGATACATGAGCTCTGGTCTTTCTGTGTTTGCTTACCTGCAGCTCTGTCTTCTTTAAGTTATGTTTGAGAAGTTAAATATCAATATTAGGTTGCCAGACTCCCCAAAGTACAGGCATTTCAATGGGCATGTCTTTGGGTAAAAAAATACAGCCCCCTAGTTATCAAGCAGCAATAAGATGGCTTTTAGTATTATTCAGCTTGGGAATAATTCCAGATTTAAATATCAAAAAGTTACCTGTGCTATCATTCAGAGCAAACATGCCTTGAACAGTATAAAACATTTTGCTTCTGTATATAAACATTATTAATCTGCATGATGGGCTATCACTATCATAGATGAAAGCTGTTACCCAGAATTTATTAAGTTGGTAGTGGAAACTCTGAATAATGATACCCGTAACATAAAATTCAAATGCTGTAAAAGCCAACACTCATCAATGCTTTTATGATTATAGAATGGAGAATTTCTGTAGTATATTTTGAATCAGTGGACTTGAGTCTATGGTTGTGCAGTCATATTTGCTGGGTCACAAGCCCCTAGAGAGTCACCATTATTGTTTACTGTTTAGGGAAAGGATTTTCTGCTAGTACACTTGGATAATAAATAGTAATCTATAGAACACATGAGCAGCTCCTCCTGCCTGCCTGTGCAGGTAAGATGAGCAGAGCTGCAGGATGGCCAGGTGGGTTCACTCAGCAAAGGCAGGACTCCTCTTCCTTTCACATGACTCTGTGTCAGGTGATTATGATGCCATGTTAATTTTCTGCCTCTTGCTCGCAACTCAATGGGTTCCATTCTTCTGTCTGGAGGTTAAAATTGGGTCCCACATCAGGAAAAGTTGAAAACCACTATTCTAAAGGAACGATCTGGTAGACTTCAGATAGAAACACCTGAAAAGCAAAGTGTGGGGTAACACTGAATAATAAGAAATCTGCATTAAATAATAAGAAATCTGCATTAAAAATTAAACAAACATTTGGTTACTTGTGTAGAACAGCCCTGGGGACCCATGGAATTCATCTTTGGACATGAAGACAGGGACGCAGCAAGGCCGCCGTTTTTGGAATGATTATGAAGCCAAATAAGAATCAATGGAACACAGTTTACTGTTTATATTCATGAGCATACCTAATTCGCAGAGCAGTTTTAAAAATGCATGCATACTGTGCTCAGAAACCACATTTTGCACTATAAAGTCAAGAGCACTTACATGAAACAAAAAGGGAGCTCTCAAGCCACCCCTCATTGCCTGGAGCTTCTCACTTCTTCAGCATTTGAAATGTCGCTTGTGTCTATCTGCAAAGTAGTGTTTGACTCGGCATCCGATAATCCCAGCAGCTGCTGCCGCTGCCACCACCCTCATCTTTTCTTCAGGAGCACAAAGGATGAAGGAAGAAGTGTTTATTCTGATAAGGTTTCACAGTCACCAAATAACATTGTTTTAGAACAATTTCCCTTCTGCAGTGTTGTAAATACATACCTAAATTCAGTGCTTCTTTTGTTTAAGGCACAAAAGATGCTAGTACTCACATATAAGGTTGCAGCAATTTCCACCAATTCCTGACTCCCCCCCCCACAAAAAGAGAGACCCAGAAAAAGGTGTTGGTACTCAATACCAGTTATCTCTCTGTGTGTGTTAAGTGCCATCAAGTTGCTTTCGACTTAGGGAGACCCTATGAAATAATTACCTCCAAAACATCCTATTGTTAACAGCCTTGATCAGGTCTTGCTTACTGAAGGCCACGGCTTCCTTTTGAATCAATCCATCTCATGTTGGATATTCCTCTTTTCTTCCTGCCTTCAACTTTTCCTAGGATTAATATCGTTTCCAGTGAGTCTTGTCTTCTTGTAAGGTGACCAAAGCAGGATAGCCTCAGTTGAGTCATTTTAACTTCCAGGGAGAGTTCAGGCTTGATTTCATCTAGAACCCACTTATTTGTCTTTTTAGTGGTCCACAGTATCTGTAAAACCCTCCTCCAACACGAACACCGGTGAGCACTGTCACAAAAAAGGGTTTGCCTTTACTCCTAACTCTCTCAGACCTTGGGCTCAGGGGCAGTTAACAGTATAAAAGTAAAATGCATTCATAGAAGATCAGGTTTAGAAACCCCTGATAAACACTGAAGTTTAGTACTGTTGCGCAAACACCAGCCCAATTAAAGAAGCCATCCACTGTTTCCAGAAATGCTGATGCTTCAGTAAGGAGTTTGCATAGTTTGGCCACCAAATGCATTGCCTTCATGCCCAAGCTGCTAGAGGCTTAAAAGGGCATTGTCAGTTGATCCAAGAGACTATGATAAGGCATGGGTAGAAAGTAAGTTTGCCAGCCTCCAAGTGGGGCCTGGAGATCTCCCACTTTTACAGCATCACCACACTACAGTGATCAGTACCCCTGGAGAAAATGGCCACTTTGGAGGGTGGACTCTATGTCATTATATCATACTGAGTTCCCTCCCCTCCCCAAATCCCACCTTCAGGCTCTGCCCTCCAAGATCTCCAGGTGTTTCCCAACCCGGGGCTGGCAGCCCTAGTAGAAAGGCAATTAGTACATGCAGTTTTTTGGATGTCTTCATAACCAATGACACTAGGTTGGATCACACAATCTGTCAGCAGAAGGTGCTGATGGTTGCAAATCTTTCTTGTATTTTTTTCCTCCAGCAGTCCTCTGGGAAAATTTATTCTGGGGGATCCTGTGACCTCTATCATAAACATTTCCAGAGTCGGAAAGAGCTGTGGTGGAAAGGGAAATACTGGAAAGTTCTGCAGAGTTTTATCTGAACTGTGCATTGGAACTGGCTATTGATACTGACTTGCTTCAAAACCAGCATGGTTTAGTGACTAGAGTGTCAGACTAGGACCTAGGAGTAGGGATGGGCATGAACTGAATCACGAAGCAAATTCATCATGAATTTTGCCCTGTTCGTGGTTTGTGAACAGAAGTTTGTGGAGGGTCTATCATAACAACCTTCCATGAATTTTTAAAGTTGTTCATGGTGGTTTGTGGATGGAGCAGAAAGTAGGGGCGTAAAGGGACTCTGAGTCCCTTTAAACCCCCTTAAAACCTCTTTAAACCCCTGCTTTCTGTTCCTTGTGAAAGCCACAAAAATAGCTGAGCGTCCCAAATATAAAGAACAAATAGCAAAAGGAGAGTGCTTAAGAGAGAAGATGGCCTATGAGCAACTAATTACAGGAGACTTAAAACATTTATTAGGAATAATATATAAAATGCTCTTACAGTATGAAACAGAGCAAGTGAAAGACTGTATGTTTAAATGGATGAAAAATATTTGGATGAGAGAATATTTCTATGAGCCACTGGGAAGATTTATGGACTACAGAAATTAAACTTACCAAGTCCCAAATATAATGGGAGAATTGGTTTAAAATGTTTTACATTTTAATGGGTACATTATGCCCAAAGAAACTGCAAAAACCAATAAGAGGTATAACGGGAAATGTTGGAAATGTTAAAGTACAGCTGCAACATTTTACCATATGTGGTGGACATGTAAGAAAGCAAGACAATATTGAAGAAAGATCCATGAAGAGATACAAAAGATAAGTTTGTGATGGCCCCAAAAACATGTATTAAATATTTTACCAAGTAATATTACAAGAACAAATAGTGAACTATTAAAATATATGGTAACAGTAGCAAGGGTGACATTTGCATCTAAATGGAAGGCAGAAAAATGCCCAAAATTGATGGAATGGAAGAACAAAATAAATGAGTATGCGACAATGGCAAAACTAACATTATGTAATAGATTGAGCTCAGAATTTCAAGAAAAATGGAATGTACTTTTTGACTATATAGCTGAAAATTAGGACTGAATTGTTAGAGAGTTAATAATAGGAAATACACATCTGTAATAATGAAATGTTATTTATGAAGCAATGATGAAAAGATAGAATAAAGATAAAACAGACGTGAAAATTTAGAGTATATCTAAATAAATTTTATGCAACCAAGTAAGTGCTAATTGACAACTGTAATACATAGATCAATGTAGTATTGTAGTTTATGTAGGAATTAGATATAGTAAATAAAGTAGATGACCATAAATCTATGTTCATGTCTGTGTTTATATCTATATTCATGTAAGACAATTGTCTATATTACATGTATAATTGTAGCAATATATTGTAGCTTTTGTCTGTACAATTTTTTTAAAAAAAATTAAAATAGTGGAACAGCATGGAGGCACTCCCGCCACTTAGCTATTTCAGGCTGTCTTGCACAGTCCATTTAAACTTTAAAGGGACTGCAGAAGACAGCCCAAAAACAGCTGTGCAGAAGGGAGGTGCTCCCTGCCATGCAGCTGTTTTGGGCTGTTGTGTGCAATCCCTTTAAACTTTAAAGGGACTACAGAAGAATGCCTGAAACAGCTGTGCGGTAGGGAGCACCTACACACCAAGCAGCTGTTTTTGGGTTGTCTTCTGCAGTCCCTTTAAAGGGACTGCAGAAACATGAAACAGCTGAGTGTCGGAAAACAAGCTGCTCCCTGCCGCTCAGCTGTTTTTTGGGCTTTCTGCAAATCCTGTTTAAAAGCACTGCATTCTTTTTCAACAGGTTGCAAGACCATGGACCATGAACCAGTTCAGTTTGCAACCAAGCCTCCTGTTTTATTTTGATTTGTGGTTTAGTTCATGGTTCAGCCACGAACTGAACCACATTTTCCTGGTTTATAGGAATCCCTACCTAGGAGACCCAGGAGCAGATCCCCATTCTACTATGGGCGTTCATTGGGTGATCTTTGGTTGGTTACACACAATCAGCCTAATCTATCCTCACAGGGTTGTTGTGGGGCTTAAATATACGAGAGGAGAACTATGCAGTTTCTTGCTTTGGGTCCCCACTGGGGAGAATGGGAGGATATAAATGAAGTAAAATAAATTTTAAAAATTCTTACACACCATTCTCATTATCTCTTTTTCTTTGTTTGCAGGTGACCCGGTAGCAAAGCATGAAGTGGGACAATGGAATTTGTGGCTACATTGCTGGACTGTTGCACAGAGACGTTTATTGTTTGCGAAAAGCATTGTGTTTGGATTCTCCACTTTCTGACTTAGTGCGCAAGAAGGAGCATAGTTCTGCTTGTTGACTATAGCAACACTTTGCAAATCTTGACTTTCTTACAAAGCACTGTATACATTTTTAAGACAGGACCTTTATTGCTTTGATGCTTGAACATCTATCATTGAGCAACTAAAATTCCTTCCAAAGCATATGATCTACAGACCTTTACTTCTAGCATTACAAACAAAATATTATTCAAATAACCTTGAGAAATTGGTAAGGCTAGAAAACACTAATTATTCAGATGAAGGAGCTGCCTCATCATGCAGCTATGGAAGTGATAGGAAAGACAATTGAGGTATTCTTAGAAAATCTACTTCAATATATTTTTAACTGGGATTTAGTAAGTAGGGAAGTAAATCACGATGTTTATAGCCCTTGCCCCTATTACGTTACTGACTGTGTGATTATGTTTCTTTCCATTTGTACAGTGTTGGGGAGAATAGTGAGGACATTTAATCCTGAAAGTAGATAGTTCTTAGTGTGCCAAAAAAAAGCATCAGAAAACAGCAGAATAGAAATCTGTGTTGCCTGTTTGCTTCAAGAAATCTAAAGAAAATGGAACTATTAATTAGATATTTTCATTCAAGGCTAGGAATGTACAGGTGACAGAACATAAGAGAAGCCATGCTGGATCCAGTGCAACACTCTGTGTCACCCAGTGGCCAAAACCGAGGTGTCATAAGGAGGTGCACCAGTGCTGCCAGAACTCCAGAAGCCCCACTGTTTCCCCCCAAGCACCAAGAATACAGAGCATCACTGCCCCAGACAGAGTGTTCCATCTATACCTTGTGGCTAATAGCCACTGATGGACCTCTGCTCCATATGTTTACCCAATTCCCTCTTGAAGCTGTCCATGCTTGTAGCCGCCACCACCTCTTTTTTATTATTCTTTGGGTGAAGAAGTACTTCCTTTTATCTGTTCTAAACCTACTGTTCATCAATATCATTGAGTGCCTACAAGTTCCTGTATTGTGATAAAGGGAGAAAAGTACTTCTTTCTCTACTTTCTCAATCCCATGCATAATTTTGTCAAACTCTATCATGTCACCCCTCAGTTGTCGTTTTTCCAGGGTGAAGAGCCCTAACCTCTTTAACCTTTATTCACAGGGAAAGTGTTCCATCCACTTCATCATTTTAGTTGCTCTTTTTCACACCTTTTCCAATTCTATAATATCTTTTTTTAGGTGCAGCGACCAGAACTGCACACTGTATTCCAACTGAGGCTGCACCATTGATTTATACAGGGGCAATATGATACTGACTGATTTGTTTTCAGTTCCCTTCCTAAATCTCCAGCATAGCATTTGCCTTTTTTATTGGAGTTGCACACTGAATTGACATTTTCAGTGAGTTATCTAAAATGACTCCAAGATCTCTCTCCTGGTCAGTTACTGTCAGTTCATACCCCACCAACATGTATTTATAGTTATGGTTTTTGTCTCCAATGTGCATCACTTTGCACTTGCCCATGTTTTTTTTAATAAGTTTTATTTATCAGTTTTCACTACATACCAAAAATAAAAATAAACATAGTACATAAGAGTACATAAGACAACAGTTTTGGAGTTTAAACTAAGCATTTTTTCCAATCCATTTGTTAACTTTATGCCATCTTTTTTGAAGCACATGTTCTTCTTTCCCTGATAGTATCATATTTAATTTATCAATTTCTATTAATTCACAAATTTTTATAATTAACTCTTCTCTACTGGGTAATACATCCGTTTTCCAACATTTTGCAACAAGAATTCTCGACAGAGTAAGTATATATAATATAATACATAGACCATGTTGAACCTCATTTGCCACATTGATGCCCAGTTGTCCAGCCTCGACAGATCCCTCTGGAGCGCCTCTGAGTCCTCCCTGGTTTTCACTGCCCTGAACAACTTAGTGTCATCTGCAAACTTAGCCATTTTACTGCTTACTCCCAACTCCAAATCATTAATGAACAAGTTAAAAAACACTGGACCAAGTACCAAGACCTGTGGTACCCCACTGCTTACCACATTCCACTGTGAAAACTGCCCATTTATACTCACTCTTTCTCTTAATTAACCAGTTTTTAATCCACAAGAGAACTTGTCCTCTTATCCCATGACTTCTGAGTTTACTTAGGAACTTTTGATGAGGAATTTTATCAAACGCTTTCTTAAAGTCTAGGTAAACAACATCTATTGGGTCACCTTTGTCCACATGCTTGTTCACTCCCTCAAAGAACTCTAAAAAGTTGGTGATACAAGATCTTCCCTTACAGAATCCATGCTGATTTTTCCTCAATAGCTTTTGTTCATCAATGTGCTTACTAATTCTCTCTTTAATAATGGATTCCACCAAAGTATCAATGTTAGACTGATTGGCCTGTAATATCCCGGATCTCCTCTAGAACCTTTTTTTAAAGATGGGGATTATATTCGCTACCTTCCAGTCCTTGGAAATGAAGGCAAATTTTAATGATAGATTGCATATTTTTTCAGGAGATCCACAGGTTCACATTTGAATTCTTTCAGAACTCTTGGATGTATGCCATCTGGGCCTGGTGATTTGTCAGGTTTTAATTTGTCCATCAGTCATAGGACCTCCTCTCTCATCAACTAACTCAGGTCTTTTAATACCCCTCCCGAAATCGGCAGTTCTGGAGTGGGCAAACACCTCCCATCTTTGACAGTGAAGACAGAGGCCAAAAATACATTCATCTTCTCTGCCATTTCCCTGTTATCCTTTAGTAATCCTTTTACCCCTTTGTCATCCAAAGGTCCCACTGCCTCCCTGGCTGGTTTCCTGCTATTGATGTATTAGAAGAAATTTTTATTATTAGTCTTTATGTTTTTTGCAATGTGTTCCTCATAGTCTCTTTTTGCCTGTCTGATCACCGACTTGCATTTTATTTGCCAAAGCCTGAGCTCCCTTTTATGTACCTCACTCAGACTAGCCTTCCACCGCTTAAAGGAATCCTTCTTACCTTTTACTGCTTACATTACTTTGTTCATTAATCATGCAGGGTTTTTATACCCATTTGTACTTTTCTTAACGTGTGGTATACATTTTATCTGAGCTTCTAGGATTGTAGTTTTAAATAGTTGCCAAGCTTCCTGAAGGGATTTGACTCTCCTTACCTTTCGTTTCAGCTGCTTCTTCTTCACAAGCCCCCTCATTTGAGAGAAGTTACTCTTTCTAAAGTTAAATGTGGTTGTTTTGATCTTTTTGGTCATTGAGAGTATCTAGAAACCCAATCTCTTTCTCCTAACTTGAATATGTATTGACCCAATCAATATGTGGGTAGTTAATCACCTATTATGACAGTTATTTTGTCTAACTGCTTTCCTTAATTCTTTTGCTATTTTAAACCATTCTCTAACTTTTGATCTGGTGGGTGATAACAAACTGTGATACATGAGACTCAAGCTAACAAAATAAATTATTATAAAAATACAAATATTTATTATGGTGTACACATTAGTAAAAATAAAATAGGTTAAAAGAAATTATACAAATATCAGACTCTTAAAACCTTTTACATACAGAGCTGTTATTTTCACATATACAATTGATGGGTACATCTTATGACCAGCCCTGGCTCAGCTTGCCCGCCTCCTGGCCCCTCTTGCCTCCCCAGCCTCAGATCGCCTTCGGATAGGCAGCTTCGGAGAGTGGCCGGCTGCTTCCTGTTATGTGCTGCTGGGCCCCTCGGCCTTCCCACCCACAGTGAATGGGCTAGGGCTGCCAAGTGGGGGGCAGGGGGCGGGTAAACCCCCGCTTCGGAGGCCCAATTTCCACTGCCGCAGAATCGGGCCTCGGGGGGAACTCTGCCCCCCGAAGCACAGCGTGGCTGCATCACCAGAGGTGACGCAACCACGTCAATCACATTGGGGGCATGGCCCCGATTGTCGGAGGGAAAACTCTATGGTTTTCCCTCTGACGATCGGGGCCATGCCTTCAATGTGATCAACATCGTGCATCACTTCTGGTGACGTACTTGCGGCGCGTGCGTGCACACATCAAAGGATGGCTCCCAGAGCCCAGTGAGGCTCCCCCGCCGGTAAGAAAAATGGACTTGGCAACCCTAGCGGTGTATGTGTGTGTGGGGTGCCGCCTGCTTCAATCTCGAGGCATTCAGTGGAGGCATGGCGAGTAGTCCCTCCTTGGACTCTCCTCCATGTGACGAAGTTGCTGAGAGAAGCAACTTAGGAGCAGGGAGGGAAGCCGGTGCCATGCGGGAGGCTCTCCCCAGCCCAGAGGAGTGAGGAGGGGCACCACCAGCAATCCCCAGCGCTGGAGGAGCAGGGCCAGGTGGGGACAGCCGATACCTCCTCGGCTCCCTGCTTTGCCTGGCATCTTCTCCTGCCACACCCAGTGCATCCTGGGAAACTAGAGGTGGTGGTGGTTGGCATGGCAATGATTGGACTCCATCAGTCCTGTGCTGTCCGATGGTGCTTCGCCTCCTCCCAACTCTGGCTCCGAAGGCAGGACATGGGAAAGGCAAGGGGTGGACTGGGAGCAGGGGGCAGGGCTTGTTCCATGTGCCCACCCCCTGGGCTCCTCACTGCCGGAGCGTGGCTCCTGTGCACTCCGGCAGCAAATGAGGCCTGCCCTCTCTGACATACAGAACCTCTCCACCTTCAACTCTTCCCTCCCTATTCTTCCAATATGATTTCTATCCAGGAATCACTCTATCCCACTGATTAGAAGAGAAGAAGAGAAGAGATTGGATTTATACCCCGCCCTTCACTTGGAGTCTCAGAGCGGCTTACAAACTCCTTTCCCTTCCTCTCCCCACAACAGACACCCTGTGAGGTAGGTGGGGCTGAGAGAACTCTGACACAAACTGCTCTTTTTCAAGGACAGCTGTGCCAGAGCTTGTGACTAACCCAAGGTCAC